CAGAAAATTATTGAAATATGTCAATGTCCTGCTGCAATTCATTCGGAATGGCTGAAAAGGGGGAAAGGACAGAATTCATCAAGGTTCTAAATCAGAAGTTAAGGGCAATATTGCCACATATAGATGGTAGGAAGGGGAACTGCATGTCCACAATCCTCCCTCGACTGCTTTTACATCCTCTTAAGATGCAGACAGAAACCTGTCTCCCTGCGAGTCAGCGTGCACCTGTATATCATATCCAGCCCATCCTTGAATGAAAGTGGTGACTGTTATTGATGAATGTGGTGATGACTCGTTATTTATGAGGACTGAATCCTATGAGCATGAATGCAGGCTCTCAGAGGGGACCATTCCCCTGACTAATAGGGGAACCAGCCCTACAGTAGAGAGTTTGGATAGGACACCAGCAATGATCGGAAGGTCAGAGTCATGTAACCACGATCTTACGATTATTTAGTGGTCTGCCGACAACTTCTGTGGCTCTCTAATGCCTGTGCTAACTGCTGTACTGTTACCAAAAAAGACACTGTATATTTAGAGACTCTGCTCCTTTGATTAGGGAAACGCTTATAGCTCAAGATAATAAGAGCCTTCTGTTGGGAAAGGTGCTGCACCTGAAATCTTCTCCAGCTGTGTTCAGCTCTCTCGTGCTCTCTGTTATTTCCCTTAAAGATCTAATTGGTATGGAAGCAGTACAGGTATAAACATAGCGATTTTGTTGTGATTCATGATCCAGAGAGTCACCTGGGTGCACTGAAATCTCCTCTGCCTTTTTGACGGCCCCCTGGCTTCACCTCAAACTAAACATCTTTCTTTTTTTATTTTAAGTATTTTTTGAGGGCGAATTTAGTGCCTTCCTCTGTTGAGAATCTGAGGCTAGCATCACACAGAGCACAGGCAGGCACTGTTAAAGAGTCCCAGGTCTCTCTTGGGGCAGTGGGATACGGGGGGGTGGGCATTGTGACAAGCTCAATGGATAACAAGTAGGAAACCCTTCAAATTTCTCCCCCTGGAGATCAGAGGTGGGAGGCATGTTCCAGAAAGAGAGGTCCCCATGTCCTGAGGCCTGGCAATTCAGTGTGCACACATTCCCCTTCCCCTGTGCAAAATTACGTTTCATGTTGGGGAGTAATTGCCTAAATTTAACCCATAACAGTAAAAGATTTCTGAGTTAAGGTTTCCTTGTATAATACAATAGGAAAAGCATTAAGAAAGTAGTCACACGTACTCTAGGGAACAATGCTTTTGCAACCCAGGGGGACGCCAGATGACTTAACAAAAATTATAGACCGAAAAATACTTAGGATTTAAATATAAGGGGTGAAATCCTGACCCTCTTATTTTCAATAGAAACTTTGCCATTGACTTCAGTGCAGCCAGGATTTCTCCCAGGGTGCTGAAAAACAACCACTAGTGGGAGACCCCAGAAATTTCTGAGTACAACCAAAGGAGTTGATAGTACAGTGCAAGGTAAAAAGTACAGCTTTAACCTAAGCATCCTTTAATTCCATGTATTTGCTGGGTGCTCAAGGGGGAAACTGAGGATAAACAAGCACCAAAATGTTAACAGCTAAATTTATGTCCCTACAGTTCCTTCTACCTGTCATCCTGTAGTTTGATTTTTAAAAATCCATTAGATTTAAGCATAATTTCCTTAAGTGAGCACAGGATGACTTCACCGTAATGAAATCACAACTTTCCACCAGTAATTAGCATTTCTGTTGCCTTCACTGCCATTCAAGTGGAGCTTAGAGACCGGTACAGTGCGCTCCTTCTGTTGCCAGGGCCATTGATAAAATTGTATATTGATGTTACTGATAGAACTTGTAAGTTTTCACTTACTTCAGATGTGTTTTTTTTAAATAACTAACTGAACGCAGTGTCTGGTTAGAGCAAGGAACAGGAGACGGGGCTCCTGGATTCTGTTCCTGGCTCTGGGAGGGGGAGTGTTCCCTAGTGAGTGGAGCAAAGAATTGGGATTCAGAACTCGCTGTTTGTTTCCAGCATGGCCAATTACTCACATCTTAACTGTGGTCATACGGGAACATCTGGGCCTCAGGTTTCCCCATTTGCAAAATAAGTGTTCCTGCCACCCTCACAGAGGTGTGGCCTATTTAATGTTAGCAAAGTACTTTGCGATTGAAAGGTGCTAGAAATATGCATGGTGCCGTCTGATTTATCATTAATATTATCCCAGTGTTACAAACCAGGACAGCTGTCTGGTATCTGTTTCACAATGCTGCCCTCATTCCTTGGCCAAACTACCTACCCTGGTTTCCTAAGAGAGATTGGGGACCTGACTCTGACACCCACAGACAACCCTTAACACTCGGGCGGGCTGCTCTCCGAACAGTCTGTCAAGGACAACAGCTCCTGTCCTTGCAATGGCGCATCCTGCTTAGTCTTTTCAGACACCCTGCTTTCTCGGACCTCCCCTGCCAGCAGCCTCCCTCAGCATGCAGAGCCAGCCCTGTCTGATGCCTGGCACGGAAACCTGCTGCTTTGTTACCGTCTCGATTGCCTCTACCCAGCCATCTGTACCAGCAATCGGAACAGATTTGCTGCTTTGGCCTAGGCATGCTCTGGTATATTGACCCACCCCGCAGGTTAACTTTTTAACAGGCAGCAGTGGTGGCTTTTTTGCCCGAGAAGGCTTGCCTGGCATTTCTTGCCTTGCAACAATATTCCTGCAGAGTTAATTTCTGGCACATACAATAAGCAAAATGGGCTTTTTTATTTTTTAAGGGCAATGCACATTCAGTGGTTACCTTGCACATCTTGCTGCTGCTAATGAATTGCTAATACAATTTTCTAGATAATTTTATCTCCATAGTCCCCACATTTTAATGCGTCTCCAAAAAGGTAGCATTTATTGGCTTAATCTCCCAGCATAATACAATTTGCACTGACTCATAGGTTCTGAACAATCAGCTATGCATAAACTAAAAAAAATGTTTAATAACACAAAAGTCTTATTTTTACTAGCGGTGTGTAAATATCTGGAGTTTTTTTCTTCTGTTGGTGCAGCCAACTTTATAATTGTGTGTGGTTCATAGGATTAAGTTTCTGTTTGTATTTCTCTTAAGCATCCCAAGCAATAACGGGGATGTTATTCTATTACATTCAACCCTCTAGTATCTAGGGCAGAATTCCGAGCTACTCCCATTAGCAATGTCTCTAGGTCCCACTTACATCAGGGTTTAAGGGGGCAGAGATACTCAGTGTCTTGGGAGAACTTCCTGCTTAAATCTCAGAGGTGTATAGGCCTAGTGTTTAAAGCATGATCGTCGTTTGAGAGGGAATGCAGAAAACTATTAAAAACAGCTACTTTGTAGTTAGGGGGAAAGGAGGCGTCTGACATGGGAGATTGCAGAGCCTGTAGTTACAGGACTGGGCTTTAGATGGAAGTCTTTCTAGCTGTATCCGGTGCCCCATAAAACACTTGAACTAGTTGCACCATTCCGCAAGCCTGCATTTGTTCTACATGATGTGTGGCCCAGTGGATGGAACAGGAGTCCTCAGTTCTACTTCTGACTCTCCTGCTGACGTGACCATGGGCATGTCACTTGCCTGCTCTCCTCCATCTATCAAATGAGGACAATTACACTGGCCCACCTTGTGAAAATCACTTTGCAATGTAAAAAGTGCTATATACAACACTATTTTCATTTATCATCCTGAGGATATGTTTCCATAAAAGGTTTCTGGTGAACGTTCCAAGACTTGTTACATCAGCTTAGGAGGAAAGAATCCGAGCTTGCTGTGGTGTCCTGATTTGGTCAAAATTTCCCCTCCACTTAACTGTACTGCCCCAACTGCCTTATAGGTAGCTGCATTTCATCAGGCTACTATTCCTCTGTAGCACATGAAGCTCTTGTCGAATTCTTTAGGATGAAGGATTTTGTCATCATGTAAAGATTTTATTGTTATTAGTGTCAGATAAAGATGAACCAAAAGCACTTTTCTGTCTTGGTCCATGATCACCAATGAGGCGCTTTCAGAATAGTTAAGTGCTTTTTATTTTTTTCCCCCAAAATTACTTTTTGTGCTCCATATTCTATATGCACATTACAAAGTTATTTTCTTCCAATTTAAACTGGTTCAATTTGAAAGCCATCATCTATACATTCATAACCTTTATTTTGTAATTTGCTTCTCAGCCAGTTTCATCAGGTGGGGGTACTATGATAATACATTCTTGATACTGCATTTGATAGCTATCTTATAGTTGCTACGCTGTGCAGTTTGGTATCTGCTTAGATATGAAGGGGTTGGCGTCTCCCTTTGTTTTTGGCCATACTGCTCTAGGAATAGAATGGAAATGTTGCCATGTATTGTTCTGCAGCCCAGCAAAGGAAAATTCTTGCCATTTGCTTTACCATGTGTTACAAGTTTCCAGTGCCCAGTACAACTGTAGATGTCAAGTTTCCACTGAGTATGTGTCAGGGAAATAAAAATAGAGTGAGTTTCAAATCGACCTTTTTATTTGTTCTACGTTTTTATTGGGGATTGGGTAGCGATGGGGTTTCCATCTAAGAGTACTAAACCAACACCCCAGTTTTCTGTTAATCCACCCGAGCCGTTTCATCTGCTCCTCCTGAATGGGAGAGGTATTATAGGGAAATAAACGGAGACGGCTTTGGCTGTCGAGGGGTTACGAGCTAACGTGCAATATGACTGGCAAGCACTTCAGGAAGCATTGACCTGACGCGATCAGTGCCAGTGACTCCTCTTTGGTTGTGCCGAAGTGCTTGTGAGTTGATGCTCTCGCTAGTCTGTTTCGCTCAGGTCTGTCCTTTCCTATGACCATTTCCTTGGGTTGAATGGTGCTGCATTCGAGCGCATGTTGCCTTGACAGGACAATCGCAAGTAAGGAAGAGTGGCCCAAATTCTTCAGAGCAGTGGGCCATCTAGCCCGGCATCCTGTCCGCAAAAGTGAGAGCATGTCAGAGGAGTCTGCTGCAAAGGTTGCTGACGAGAATGTCTCCCTTTCTCCCCAGGTACTGACATGGCCGTCTTCTGCCTGCTGTGCGGGAAGCGGTTCCAGACGCAGACTGCCCTGCAGCAGCACATGGAAGTGCATGCGGGAGTGCGTAGCTACATCTGCAGCGAGTGCAACCGCACCTTCCCCAGCCATACCGCCCTCAAGCGGCACCTGCGCTCACATACAGGTAAACTGAGGCCATGACTAGCTGCCACTGGGACGCTCCATGAGCTGGCTGCCTGCCCTTGCGAGGGGATAGGGAGCGGGGCTTAATGCAAGCCCTGGGCCTCAAGACAGGGAGCCCTGCATTCATGAGCCATTGCATAGGGATCTGTGGAACAGCCCCAGCAGGACCCATCTAGTGCATCACCTCTGACACTACAGGATTGTTCCCTACACTGCATCCCCAGTTCATTGTCTAGTGTAGACCTACGTGTGTCCAGCGGTGAGGCTTCTGTCACTTCCCTTGGTGGGCCTAATAACTCTCTTTAGCATCAACTTTCCCAGTTTCCTCCCTTAGGTAAATTAGTGTAATGGCTGGGCAGTCATTATTCTAGGATGGTGCCTGAGGATCTCAGTTAGGAATTAGGATCCTGTCATGCTAGACAGTGTGCAAATATTTATTAAATGACAATCCCTGCCCCAAAGACCTGTGGACTGGGTCTACACTTCAAGATTAGATTGACCCAGCTACGTTGCTCAGGGCTGTGAAAAATGTTGCATCCTTGTTTGACCTAGTTAGATGCAGCTAGGGCAATGGAAGAATTCTTCTGTCAACCTAGCTACCGCCTCTGAGCGATGGATTAACTACACCGATGGGAAACCCCCTCCTGTCAACGTAGGATGCGTCTACGCTGCAGCGGCACAACCGCAGCACTGTCGCTGAACCACTGTAGCCTGGACATACTGAAAGTTACAGCCAGTGGTGCAAGTAAAATCCATGTCTTACCAGAGGCAGGTGGGCACCAGTTAAAGGGGCACATGTGACTCTTCACCACCCCAGCCCAGGGCCCCCATTCTCTCCCTTTCCCCTCCCCTCATCCATCCCATGTTACGTGGGGCAGGAGGGCTACGCCGGAATCAGGGCTGGGGGGGAGGCGAGGCTAGGGGCGGGGGTACAGCGGCCGGAGGAGCAGCCAGTGTTCTGCTCCTTTTCCCCGCTGCTGCCCCTCCCAGTGGGGAAAGGAGCAAAACTCCCAGCCCTGCCCCACAGCCCTCTTCTCCGGCGGGGCTGCTGCTCTGTCATTCCAGTACGCTGCACCGGCTATAGCTTGCTGGTATGGCGTACCGGAGCCTACTGGCCTACCTGCACTGCTGGAGAGGATGCAAGAAACAAATTGGGGGAGGAGGAAGGAGGGGTAGGGCGAGACACCAGCAAAACAATCCTAGCTGGATACACCAAGCGTGGGGCATGGCTCTCACCCTAAGCACAGTCTCCTATAGTGGATACGACCCTTCCAAGACTTGATGGGTTCGGCTCATGACTGGGAAAAGGAAACTCTAATGAAGGATTCCTAGTGGAGATTTAGTGATAAAGAGAAGTGGCGGGGGGAGGGTTCAGGGGTTGGGTTTTCTTTTTGATTTTCTTTAAATATAAATTAAAGGCAATGTCATTCCTCAGTAGAACTCATCTGAGCTTTTTAAGCGATGTGCAGTAAGTTTGTTATCCTGTGTAACGTGGCATGTGACCTTATTAGTGGGGGTGTGAATGTACCTCATCGGCTTAAAGCTCTAGATGCACATAATCGGCCTGGTACCCTGCCTTAATGGGATTATAGTGACCTCTGCTATGTGTACGTGGTATTTAAACTGCACCGGGAAATGTTCCAGTCAAGTTCTGTTTGCTTAGAAGAGCAGTGGGGCAGTCAAACCACTGACATGGATGGGCTGTGTGGTGGATTCAGACAGAGTCTTTTAGACCCAAACGTGGGAAACGGATGCCTGTTTGAACTCTAGAAGATAATGCCATTGCTTCTGCTTCTACTTTTATAAGGCACTTGAAGCAGCTTGCTAAACTCCACTAGGCAAATCCTTCTACCTACAGGTAGTAAAAATGGGATATAAATCAAGTGAGCAGCAGCCCCTGTCTTTGAACCCTCTATAGATACTTCCAGGTTTCAAATCAGAGTGCTCACATCAGAGCATCCACTGTTCCAGCTAAGCCTACCTAAAGGCCCTTGAGCACCTAGAACAGATGTTTGGGCCCCTGAATCCCAACATGTGCACCCTAAATTTGAAAACTCGCTGCTTGGATGCGAGGCTTGTAATGTCGAGGAAAGTCATTTTTAAAGCCTACAATTCTACAAATGAAAAGTGACCTTTCTTTAAGAAGGGGATACATACTTCTCCATAGCCTTCAAAGTAGAGTGAAAAGGCTGAGATTCTCAAATCCCAGCTTGAGACACTGTAAAGGGGGCTGTTTTTCAGAACCTGTTGAGCCATCCAGCCTCTGAAAATCAGGCCTCTTTATGGTGTGTCCAGTCAAGCATCCAAAATCACTAATCACTCTGGAAAACCTTTGGCCCAAACATATAGGGTCGTCCATGGAAGTTCTTCTGTGTATAGGCAATTTGAGGATATTGTTCAGTTTCCTCTTTAGTCCTTAGCCTTCTCCAGGATGATGCACTCTGGCTGTTGGGCAAATACGGGACATCTGCTTGGTTGGGTGGGCTGGGCCTGCTGTGCTCAACTGGAATCGCATGGGCCTATTGTTCCTGTGCCTTAATCCAGCCCTATTTATCAACCTTAATTTAAGGGAGGCAGCGTGTGAGAATTAACTCTCATATATTTGTTTTTTTCGAGACCCGTGGATGAGACGGGCTAAGGTGATGGAAAGCTGCTGTTGTAATTCTTTTATCCTTCTCATCTTAATTTAGCATAGGTGCCTCTAAACTGCCCCTCCGCTCCCATTAGTAGCCATAGCTGTGGTTAAGAGTTCACTTGAGATTTGATTACTGCGACTTTTCCCAACAGTAAAAGTCTGCTGCAGAAGCGCCTCACCCCTTCCCAGCAAGCAGCATATATACACCAGGTAGTTTGCACCAGACTTTTGACGAGAACACATTAAAGATGACACCTGCCCACTGTGGCGGTTGTTGTCCCCTTGTGGAAAAACTGAACACAATGTCGTAGACGTCTCTTTAAACAGCGCAGCATTCCCCAAGGTGTACATCTACAGCTCCTTTTCCAATAAGTTCTTAGTGCTTGCGTAAGACCTTTCCTCGGAACACCTCGAAGCACTTCCCAGATCTGGGTCAAGTGTTACTACACCCGTTTTACATCTGGGGAAACTGGGGCACAGAGAAATGAATTCACTTTACCCCAGGCCACAGAGAAAGTTATTAACATAGTCTGATATAAATCCAAAGCGTCCTGACTCCCAGTCCCTCATGGACAACACTGCCTCCAATTTATTGGAGTAGTTTGCTGTACCATAAACCATTTGTGTGCAAATATGGAACAGGTGGTGGTTGATTATTGCTCATGGCTTGGCTTGTTCTCTTGCAAGAGATGAACTACATGGTGTAAAAGGGAAGAGGGTTTTCTCTAAGCTATGATCTTTCCTGTCACTCGTGCCCCAGTGAGGATCAAAGTACTAACCCTCACCCGCCCTATGAATGTGTAAAAATACGGTCATGAATCACAGGAGAACAGTGACTTATGTTTGGGCTCACTAATTAGCTGGACTTTACCGCTCTATATGGTATAGTGGCTGATGTGTAGTTTTCAGGCTTGTTATGAATCATAGGGATTGAAATGACATTGTCTGGGAACAGGGGCATTGTTTGCAGATGTGTGGGGCAAATGTTTTCTTCCCATCATTTTCCAGGTAAAATAATTTTCTTCCTTGCTTGATCTGTTTGCAGTTTCATTTCTGGGTGTGGTGGCAGGTGAGTTTGGTGTCTAGATTTCCTTTTCCCTCCTCGCTACTGATCTGGGGTCAGATGCATTTGTTGCTTTAGCCAGGGGATGTTCCTCTCTCCGCTGGAAAATGAAATTTCCTGGTGCCAGCAGGGGGTGAGTTTTAGTGGGATTTCTCACACCTCTCCCCAGGGTGGCCAGCCTCAGGCCAGTGCGAATTGTGGTTCAGCGTTTTCATTCAGGCACTGTTGAGAGAGCGGATGGTCTCCTTAATGTGCCCGGCCGGGTGTGTTTTCACAGTGGAAAGGGCAGAGCCCCAGTCCTGATGCCATTGGGAGTGGAGAGCACTCAGAGCAGCTCAGGATGGAGAGGCTCCGGACACAACCCTTCTGCTTAGCTAAGTTTTAGAGTTGGGGAAGGTCAGCAAAGTATGTTCAGAAATCAGAAAATGCAGGGACGAATCCTGCGAGGTGCTGAGCACTGACCACTCCCTTGAGATCAGTGGGAGATGTGGCTGGTCAGCCCCTCTTGGGATTAATTTAACCAGGGTAATTGCATCATGGTCCCCTGCTCAGGATATTTCCCTGAAGGGCTCATGTTTCCCTTCCAGCAATGAGATGCCTGTGGGGTTTGGAACCACAAGAGCGAGCAGGTTGGTGGGAGTGGTGCATGATATGCCACTCACAATGAGGCTGCCCACAAACAGGGAGGTTTCCATTTCCACCCATTTTAATTGTCACCCTCCTGACAGGAAGAAACCAACAGAGGAAATGCCAGTCAGTGCCTAGGAAACAGTCTCTACGCAGCTATGTCCAATCCAGTGCAGGCAGCTACCTTGCAGGCACGTCTCAGGACCTCCGCCTCCTGCCGCCAGTGCAATGGGGCCGTCATCTGACCTAGGCTGTGACACCAAATCCTGGCAGACGGGTGCTGCTGGTGTATGGTGTGATGCGGGCTCACCTCAGAATATACCGTTTCCCACAGCCCAGAGAGGCTGACCCGAAGGTGGAGTAGCTAGTCTGTTCCCTTTGGGCTCTCATTCGGGAAAAGCTTACTCAAATCACAGTCCTTTGAGCCTGTTCATTTAATCTGGGCCATTAACTTGGGCATCCTGCTAATGTGTAACCCTCCTGGCAGCAGACAGAGACCCTACCTGAGTTGGGGATAAAGTTCATGAGACCCATTGCCTTGGGGAGACTCAAATATCCACATGGACAATATCCTATCCAAATTCTCCACCTTCGCTTTGCTCATAGCTGATTCCCAGACCCACAGATGAGCCCGGCCGAACCCTGGGTTGGCCCCTCAGGCTTGATGATGTGAATA